GCAGATCCCAAACTTTCTAGCAAAAATACCTGGCGACTTGTGAAATCTGAGCACCGCGTACGCTTGCGTTCCCCCCCTCACATAGTTAACATTTTTGGAACAGTTTCTCGTTTTCAGCATTTCCATAGGGTGTCTGCCATTCATAATCCAAGGTTATCTCCCCTTACGCATGATCTCTAAATAAAGCATCTTTGTAATATAATCCTATTGTGTATTTGTGTACAGCTGTGACCGCTAGTCCTGCAGCTTTTCAGGACCTGTCATTCTATGCTGGCCAATGAGGCATGCTGGGACTTTTGGTTCCTTGGGTGCTGAAGAATGACATCAGAGATATCAACACAGAAAAAAAAAAGGGTATATAGGGTGATTACATGCAATGCAATGTCCATAAATAAATGTGAACATTTTAGAAACAGTATCCAAAAGAGCAAAATAAACCTTTACTGTATTTTACGCATATGAGGACTAGTTTACAGAATATGGGGCACCTGGCAAGTATGTATAAAGGGCCAAGTAGGGACCCTGGTCCAGAAGGTAAATCCAGGGAGACCTGTACATCATGCAGGGTGAGAGGGTTAAATAACAAGGTGACTCTCTAAGGGTGACTTGACATGTCTGTGACACGCAGAGCAAGTTCGGCTGCCAGGTGTCCCATATTTTGTAAAACAGTCCTCATATGTTTATACTAGAGGTCTATTATCACTTTTGCACTTTGCACGAACATTGGCTTCCTTCCAAGAGGAGAAAACATGCGGGTTATTTTGTTACATTTTTTTTTGGGGGGGGGGGCGGCTCTTCACACATTTGTCCTAAAGCACTTCATAGTGCCGAAAGCTCATAAAATGTGAAAGGGGCACAGATGTACTTTATGGAAGCTTTTGTGGAAGAACTGAGAATACAATTGCCAAAGCAGAACTTCAAGGGAAAAAATATATATTAACCCTTGCAGTGTGGCTACCCCCACACTGCAAGGGTTAACTGCTCGTTTGGGTCTAGGTTAAAGGATAACAGTTATACTTACCCGATCCTCGGATATGGCTAGTTGTCACAGGTCTCCCTTTAGCCTGTCTCCATCTCTGCTGCAGCAATAGTATGTCCATCAGCATCCTCATGTCCTATACCCTGTGTATAGAACGTGATGACTCACGGGACCATACATTTCTGCAGCGGAGGGGAAGCAAGTCAGAAGGGACTGATCTAAGGCCCCATTCACACCAGGGCAAAAGGATTACAGCACGGTTTCCGCGTGATTTTCAACGGAAGGGCGTTTTTGGGTGTTTTTAATTGCGTTTCAGAGCTGAAACACAATTCATTAATTATATAATCACCGTCATAATAGGAAATAGGAAAAAAAAAAAAAAGTTCATTCAATCAGACCCAAATCTTAGATTATTCCGCTCTTTGAGGCTCCATTCACATAAAGTGAGTGTTTACTTGTCCCGCACGGTTTTCCATGTGTAAGACCGCACGGGCCGAAAACGCTAATATTTGTAATCCATGTGGATTCCGCACGTTTGCAGCTATTGTATAGCCGCGGAACCTGCTGTATTATTGCGCTTGCACTATTTTGGGGGCCACGCGGTTTAGTACCATGCCGTTTCCGCAATAGTCTGAACAATGCACATTAAAGCGCATTGTTTTTTCTGTTTAGAGCGGCTCCGCGTGCACTCGTACAGCCAGCTATGTGCGTACAACCGCTCCAGTGTGAATGGAGCCTAACATACTGAACCTGTGCCTTTAAAGTTGACAACAAAGACAACAGTGCTTATAGAACTTTAGCTAGCCATACATGTCATTTTATTATGACTCAACAAAAAAAAATCACTCTTGAATAAAGACATATCTGTTACACATAATTGGCACTAAGGTGATTTTATATCCAAAATAAAAAAAATTAAAATAATGATTTTATAAAGTTCCACCAATGTTTCCTTTGTTGTGTCAAATATCCTTTCCATCCTTTGAAACAAACAAATCTACAATTGATTGTTTGCCAATGTGTGTGGCCAATGTTACAGTATACAGTAGGGGCTCATTCGCACGTTGGTGACCAGGTGTGTTTTTGCACACATTCACATGAATCGCCATTGAAATGAATGGCACCACAGCACTATGAAGCACATAACATGTGTTAGCGTGTGTTGTGGTAACATGTGCCTTTCCGCACAAGCTACAGCAACACAACAGTAAGAATGGGCCATGAAGCTGCTCAACCTGTCTTTGTAGTCAGAGCACACTTTAAGTTCTGGAATTGTTAACTTTTGGCACCTTTTGGTCAATGGTAGCTAATGAAGCCTGGCAGAAATAAAAGTCAAGCTATTGCTTATGCCATGCCACTTACGTAGGAGACATCGAAATGTTAAGGGCTCATGTGGATGACTATTAGAAGCCCACTTTAAAGTCATGTCTGCAGATTTCCATTTACATCAATGGTGCATTATTGATCAGAGTTCTAAGAGCTCATTGTTGATGGACGTTTGATTAGAAAAGGCTGAGTTTGACCGTCAAATACATCTCGCTAAGACATGCTGTGTCCAAAGAAACGCAGCACAACGCAAAGCAAGCCTGAACTGCCATTTGTACTGCTCAAATAAACTCAATGGGATTCCAAATACACATCAAATGCAGGAAAACAACCACTGTTGACATGGGCACTAAAGCTGCATTTGGCCTTCTCTGCATGCGTTTACAAGCAATAGGTCTTACTGAGATCTGCTTGGATGCACAGTAAGTCGAGTGCAGTGTTATGCATTCAAACTTGTGCTGCGTTTGAAGGCAAAGGGCAGCGTTCATCAGCACTTGTCCACCCTATTGTGGCTAAATAGGGAGCAGATCTAGAACTGTCCCACAACAGCCAATCAAATCTCAACTTGCCAATAAAACATGGAATCAGATTGCTATGAGCAACAGGTCCTCTTCTGCCACCTCTCTCTCACGCAATGCACATCCTGACACAAGTTGTACCTCAGTCCATGGATTGAGTAAGTGGAACCATACCACAGCTAATATAAAAGATCCCTCCCTGAGATTATCTGCAACTCATATGCCACAGATCTGCACAAGTGAGCCATAAAGCAATTCCAGCACCAATTAAGTCTTAACTTTCCAAAGAAACAAGGGATGTGGTTGCTTTGAGCAACATGTCCTCATCAGCATAACTCAAATACCAAGCACAGACTTCACATGGATGTAGCAAGTGAAACCATTACCAGCGAATAAAGCAGATCTTTCCTAGAGACTTCAAATCATATGCCACTGATGTGCACAAGTGAGCCATAAAGCATTTGCGGTGCCTGGGACTGTGGCTCGGCCAATCAAGCCTTAACTTGCCAAAGAAACAAGGAATGTGGTTGCTATGGGCAATAGGTCCTCATCTGAATCACTCTAGTAAGTGGAACCATACCCAACTAATAAAACAGATCTGTCCCTGAGCCAATCTTCAACTCATATGCCACTGATCCACACAAGTGAGCCATGAAGAAATTCCAGCACCTGGGACTGTGGCTGAGCCAATCAAGCCTCAACTTGGCATAGAAACAAGGAATGTGGTTGCTATGGGCAATAGGTCCTCATCAGCATCACTCTGGTAAGTGGAACCATATCCAAATAATAAAACAGATCTGTCCCTGAGCCAACCTTATACTCTTCAATTTATATGCCACCGATCTGCACAAGTGAGCCATATAGCAATTCCAATACATGAGATTGTAGCTCAGCCAATTAAGCCTCAACAGGTGCTCATCAGCATCACTCACATACCATGCACACACTTCACATGGATGTCAAAAGATGTCATGAATACAAAAGATGTCTTTCTGAGACAATCTTCAACTCATATGCCACAAATCTGCACATATGAGCCATTTAGCAATTCCAGCACCTGAGATTGTAGTTTACCCAATTAAGCCTCAACTTTCCAAAAAACAAGGGATGTGGCTGTTATGGGCAACAGGTCCTCATCAGCATCACTCACATATGAACAGGCTTCACATGGATGGAGTAAGTGGAACCATACTAAAATAATAAAAAGGATCTCTTCTAGATACAATCTTCATATCATATGTCAAGTGAGCCACAAAGCAACTCCAGCACCTGGAACTGTGGCTGATAACAGCCAATCAAGCCTCAACTTTTCAAAGAAACAAGGGATGTGATTGCTTTGGGCAACAGGTCCTCATCAGCATCACTCTGATAAGTGCAACCATACCGTCCCAACTAATAAAACAGATCCCTCTCTGAGGCAGTCTCTAAATCATTATGCCACGGTCTGCCCAAGGGAGCCATATAGCAATTCAAGCACCTGGAACTTTGGCCAAAGAAACAAGGAATGCAATGCAATCAAATCTCAACTTTCCAAAGAAAGAAGGGATGTTGTTGCTATGGACAACAGGTCCCCAGCATCACTCACATACCGTGCACAGACTTCACATGGATGGGTAACCGTACCCTGCTAATAAAACAATTATCTTTTAGAGACAATCTGCAAATCACATGTCACTGATCTGCACAAGTCAGCCATATAGGAATTCAGCACCTGGGACTGTGGTTCAGCCAATCAAGCCTCAACTTTCCAAAGAAACAATGGATGTGGCGGCTATGGGCAACAAGTCCTCATCAGCATCATTCTCATTGACTTCACATGGATGGAGTAAGAGGATCCATACACAGCTAATAAAACAGTTCTCTTTTAGAGACAATCTGCAAATCACATGTCACTGATCTGCACAAGTCAGCCATATAGGAATTCAGCACCTGGGACTGTGGTTCAGCCAATCAAGCCTCAACTTTCCAAAGAAACAAGGGATGTGGTTGCTATGGGCAACAGTTCCTCGTCAGCATCAGTCACATTGACTTCACATGGATGGAGTAAGAGGAACCATACCCAGCTAATAAAACAGACGATCCGACACTGATCTGCTGACATGTGCCACAAAGAACTGACAGCATCCGCAAACTTCAAGCCAAAGCAAGCAAACAAAAGAGTCTCCAGCTGCACCTACCATCTCTCCTTAGGCTGGACGGTCTCAGGCTCTTCAGAGTTCCAGTTTGGGAAGAAAATCCTCTAATGCAAAAGTTTGCAAAGATGATGGTGAAAAGCAACGGCAACTGCATTGGGGCTCCGCGGGATCGCAGTTGCTTAGCCTGCAGGGGTGAAGTAACTCAGGTAAAGCGCCCGGGACGCAGCCGACACCTCCACTGGAAGGGGAGAAGCGATGAACGGGGGTCGGACGTGCCGCAGTTCTTCCCTCCGCAGAGCTGCTGGCAGCCAAGTGACTTTGAGACAGTGATCTGCACGCAGTGTTCCTGCTGCCCTTCAACAGAGAAGAAAGCTGCCTCTCGCAGGACTTTCTTTGCAGCTGGTATCTAGACTTTGTGAAGCTCCCCCTGTACAGCATGCATTTCTGCAGAAACAGCACATTGCTGGCTTTAGCACGTTCCCCCCAGTGCTCCAGATGAGGAGAAAGCCTGTGTGCTGCTGGGCTGTGTGTGAGGAGGAAACAGGAACAACAGGAAAAAAGCCAGGGGCTGAGAAAACTACAGGGAAATGGTTTAAGACACATTCTCTCAAGTGCTCAATCAAAGGGAAGCCAGGAGTTGGAAGGGAAATGTCCTCAGACCCCCACTCATTGACTCCCACCCTGCTCAGTCCCACCGCAGGCTCTGCTGCTGAGGTCTGCACAATGCAATTCAGAAGGTTCACCTCTGCTAGGGGCCACTGGGCCAGATTCCATGGAGCACCTTTGTGCGCTTTATGTTTGGATGGTTATGAAAATTGTTGCTATAGGTATATGCCTTCGAGGGTCATGTCAGATGGGCAATTCTGCCACTGGGAAGGTTCAAGTGAATCATGGCTTTGGCCGTGTGAATGATCTGGAGTCATGTTTTCAGTAATGAATCCAGATCAAACAAATATTATTATACAGGATTTATATAGCGCCAACAGTTTGCGCAGCGCTTTACAATATAAGGAAAACATTACAATCACAATGCAATTCAAGACAAGATGGTAAGGAGAGCCCTGCCCCTGAGGGCTTACAATGTAAAAGGGAGGGGGAAGTGATACCTGAGGAGGTAGCTGTGTGGGGATGCATTGTCTGAGAATGTGATGGTTGAGCAGTTAGGTTGAGGTGGGATAGGCTTCCCTGAAGAGATGAGTTTAAAGGGATCGCCTAAAGGCAGTCAGAGTGGGAGACAGATGGACAGGTGGGGGTAAAGAGTTCCAGAGGATGGGAGAGACTCTAGTGAAGTCCTGGAGGCGAGCATGGGAGGAGTTGACGAGGGAGCTGGAAAGCAGAAGGTCTTTTGAAGAGCGGAGGGGACGGTTAGAGTGATACTTTGAGACAAGGGTTGAGATATAGCCGTGGGCAGAGTTGTGGATGGCTTTGTAAGTCATTGTTAATATTTTGAATTTTATCCTTACATTACCCAGCAAAGCATTTCTTTACATTTTTGTCCAAGCACTAACAGTCATCATGCTTCCAAACAGCTTGCCCCAGCTCCACTTCCCTGAACTTCCTGACCAGTACAAGATCAGAAGGGGCAGAGCAGACTGCAGCAGCTGTCCAGCAGCAGAGGAGTGTCTTGCCTTGCTGTGCCTGTGTGTTTGTTTACTAGCGCACACAAGGGTGGCTCCATAGGACCCTGCAAGGGAAAGAAGGCACCCTAAAGCCTAGTTCATACCGTGTATACCCAGCTTAAAACAGGATATCAGGGCCAGTGCTCAGGGGAGCCGCTGATTCTGCAGGAAACTAAAAATGTAAGGCATCAAGAAGCAGCAACCATTGTAAATGATTTTAGCAGCATTTGAAATAACTTAAAAACAATTTGACTTTAATATCCCTTTAAAGCTGAACTCCAGGCACAAAAGCTTTCATTCACATATGTTCCCCAATAGCCACAAAGCATATGTTGAGACGGGATAGGGGTGGGATTTGGACATTCTGCCTGACGAAGGGGCCCCGTGGGGCTCTGAAACATTGCATCTATATGTCATGCTAAAGGAATATGAATAACTGTGACATTCCTAAGCGGAATGGAGTGTAGACAACATACCTTCTAGATTGTATGCTGTGGCGCCATCCACCAGTTGTCCCAGCACCCGTTGGATTCTGGGGTACATCGGTATGGTGTGCGAAGGGGATATTACTAAGAAATACACAAAGCTCACCAAGATTCAAGCAATAGTAGTACATGTGGTTTTTTATTTGGACAATATTTGAGTTCAGCTGTAAAGCCGGCCATACACCTATAGATTATCTGCAGATTTTCTATGGTCAGATGGAAAAAGTGCAACAGATTCCTCCATCTACGCTAAACTGTGTGGATGGAGGAATCTCCCACTGGGCCAAGCTTCAGTATCTTGCTAGTCGGCCCCGCTGGCCCTCAAAATACTTGAGCAATACCTGCTTCCAATCAGATTGTTCAGGTGTTTTGACAGCCAGGTACTGAAGCTTGGCCCAGTGGGAGATTGCTCCATCCACACAGTTTAGCGTAGATGGAGGAATCTGTTGCACTTTTTCCATCTGACCATAGAAAATCTGCCGATAATTTATAGGTGTATGGCCAGCTTAAAGCAGATGTAAACTGGCGAGCTTTTGCTGTGGTTTACACAGCATACTTGCAGATTATGGCAAATACCTTCTTCATTCTGTACTGTCCTCAGGGATGTCCCCATAATGAGGCTACCACCTCAGGTGGCATCTCATAGGGGGGGGCAGGTGTGTGGGGGGGAAGCGGCAGCATGGGCGACTAACAGCACACCCCCCACTGACAATTTAGCCGCCTCCCGCCTCCAGCTCTGCTGCCTCCCGCAACAAATGAAGTAAGGATGGCTCTGTACTCTAGAACTTGTCACATCCATGTCACCCACCATCTCCCACCATGCTATCTTCGTTGCCAATTATTCCAGGTCCAAGGTTCTCCTCTTCAGGCATTAGCTGGCCAGGATGTTACATGCATGGTAGTTTGCATGTTCTCCCTGTGCTTGCGTGGGTTTCCTCCAGGTGCTCCGGTTTCCTCCCACACTGCAAAGACATGCTGGAAGGTTAATTGGCTGTCAGTATTGGCCCTAATATGTGTATATGAGATAGACACCTTAGATTGTAAGATCCTTGAGGGCAGGGACTGATTTGAATGAACAGTATGTAAGTGCTTTGTAAATTCATGGTAGTTTGCATGTTCTCCCTGTGCTTGCGTGGGTTTCCTCCAGGTTAGGGTTAGGGTTATAACCCTAACCTGTGTAATAAAGTGTAACAGTGACAGTGTAATAAAAATGCCTGTAATAATGAGTTGCCATAAATGTAGCTTCCAGGAACAGGGCTATGAACTCCCTTATGATAGCGCTAATTGTCCTGGCTATATCACATGGTGTGAGTTAAATGCTCCTCCATACATAGGGTTACCCGGTATTTCCTTCGGATCCTGGTGCAAAACTGAACAATTAAGAAATGGGTAAAGCACAAGCTTGAAGGTCAACTCCATCTTCAAAAGTGGAGCTGTTTTCTGCAGCATTCTTTTGTGAGTCGAGGGCGGTTTGATGATGTACCCTCAGGGTGTGTGTGTCATTGACTCCCAGGGCTCATAGGAAGTTAGTGAATTGATGGTGGGAAGGATAAGTGGCACTGGACCTTGTAGCGGTGCGCCAGACATTGTGAAGATAGGGTTAATTTTACAGCCAGTGCTACTTTATTATTTAAAGAAGAAGTCTGGAAATATATACAGATATACACTATATTGCCAAAAGTATTGGGACACCCCTCCAAATCATTGGATTCAGGTGTTCCATGAAATTTCCTTGCTACTAAATATTCCACGGTCAACTGTTAGTGGTATTATAACAAAGTGGAAGCAACAGCAACTCAGCCACGAAATGGTAGGCCAAATAGGCGTAAAATAACAGAGCGTTACTTGCCTGACTGCATTGTGCCAAGTGTAAAGTTTGGTGCAGGGGAGATTATGGTGTGGGGTGGTTTTTCAGGGGTTGAGCTTGGCCAATTAGTTCCAGTGAAGGAACTCTTAAAGTGACATTAAACCCTCAGATTTATGTTTGCGTCTCTGCTTGTCTCCCAGCCGAGAATCGGAACTGCGCATGCGCCCGCCCCAAGATCTTTTGCGGCCGCACAAGCAGTTCCTGATTCTCGGCACGGGATCGAGCAGCGATAACGAGATTCCTGTTCCAATATGTTCCAATATGACTGCGCACCAGTGCACAAAGCAAGGTCTATAAAGACATGGGTGAGCGAGTTTGATGTGGAGGAACTTGACTGGCCTGCACAGAGTCCTGACCTCAACACGATAGAACACCTTTGGGATGAATTAGAGCGTAGACTGCGAGCCAGGCCTTCTCATCCAACATCAGTACCTCACCTCACAAATGCGCTTCTGGAAGAATGGTCAAACATTCCCATAGACACACTCCTAAACCTTGTGGACGCCTTCCCAGAAGAGTTTAAGCTGTTATAGCTGCAAAGGGCGGGCCAACTCAATATTGAATCCTACGGACTAAGACTGGGATGCCATTAAAGTTCATGTGCGTGTGAAGGCTGGCGTCCCAATACTTTTGGTAATGTAGTGTATATACACTCCAGAACACATCAACTACTACATAAGCACAGGGCTATATATAGCTACATATATAATTGTCTCATATAAAGGAATTATTTTATCCAGGGAGCAGCTGACCCCTAGATGATTCCTGGATAAAGTTGTTGACAGGCTTCTGGAGAAAAAGTAAGAGAAAGGCATTGTCAGTACCGTGATGTCTTGGAGAAGTAATGAAAACCTGCTATTGCTACAATTACATATCATTGGCATGCATACATTTACAATTTTAAAAAATATATCTCACGCTAGACCTGCTTTAATTCTCTGCTAAAGCCATGCATCCCTTCCCAACAAATCATCCCCCCCACCTCCACCACCACCCTCATCTAACTAATATCTACACAAAAAAACTCCCTGATCTAATTCTTGATTTGTATTGTGACTGTAATGTTTTCCTTATATTGTACAGCGCTGCTCAAACTGTTGTCGCTATATACATCCTGTTTCTTCTCTAATCCTTATTGCAGAGTGGGAGGGTCCTTCTTTGGGTGCCCATTGCCACTGCATACATAACACTTCTTATTGGCTGTCCACCATTGGCAGCATCCTTTTAAGATCC